GTCTAGCAAATATCGTGTAGAATATATCTAATATACATTGCGCGAAAATAACTTTTTTAATATCAGAATTTTGATATCGAGAAGTTATCATATAAATATATAAACACATACATTGATTTTCAGTTATCTTTATGATATTGCATGTATATCACCTAACGAATGTACAAAAAATTATATAAACTGAATATCAAATGTATATCAATATATCACATTTGCTATATGGGTAATGGCGTAGCGCAATGCCAGATGACGCTATCGCAAGAACAATTTTTCCACCATATCTTAATTTTGCGAGAAGTAAATTTATCAAAAAAGTTTTACCCGTGCCCCCAGGAGCATCTAAAAATAATATTCTGCCATCATTATTGTTAACAGACGACATCACTGAATCGTATACAATTCTTTGTTCACGGTTTAATTGATTTTCATTTTGAGCGGACAGTAATAGTTGCTGTTGATCATAATTTCTCTCTCTTAAACACTCAATATTAATTGTTGTTCTATTTATGTTTATCGGTAAAGAAAAACCAAAATGTACTATAGATTTTCTCGATTAAACTTCCACTTCTTTGTTTAATTCAAATAAAGCTTCATCAAATATAGTTTGGTCAAAACTAATATAATTTGATGACAATTCCTGTCGTTTTCGATGCAGCATATCGTCAGCCATACTTTCACGATAATTTCGCCAAAGCATCAAAGGATCAGTAATTTGACAAAACTTTAGCATGATAGCAAATAAACATCTTAGTGATTTAGGTGTACATCATATAGAAGCTTCTGATAACATGTTTTCTTAATGGGACTCGTCATCCAATAAACACAACGCCTTGCATGCACCATGAAAAGTATCATAAATGACATTTTGCACAGTGCGAAAACTTTGAAAAGAAGTTGGACCTTTAACTTTATGGAGCAGCATCCTCAAGTGAAAACACTCGGTATTGTTAGGATATACCCTGCCCAGAGCATCGGTTTTTTTTGACGCCAGGGTGTTCTCCCACCACAGTTCCTTGTTTATGCTGATTAAACTTTTTGCCAACCTGATTCCATGTATAGAACTTGGAATTTTATCATAAGTCAACGTTTTAGCAAATTCATCTTCTGCGCATAATTTAAAAAACGCTATTAGCTTATTATTACCAATTTATAGTCTGTAACATTAGAAGAAACGCTTTCAATTGCCGTTTTAAAAGACTTTACATGTCTAATATGAGTATTTAACATGTCTCATTAATACGCTGTCGAGGATCTCTCTTGAATTTATGTTACATCGTGTAGATACTTGTGTATCAGGATCGGAGATAAAATAAACTTGCAAAAATGTATGGTCATCAGGAAGATATGGAAAAATACTGACAGCAACGTGGTAAACCTGACTGTACTTTAAAGGCAGGCCTTTATGAACTACCTGTTTGCTTCTGAATGAAGTCGTTGTTTAATAGTCATTGTTGTAATAACGAATATCGCGTGTGAATTGTTTATGTTTTGTGTGACTTCCCATTAAGAGGACGCTACACCTAAAATGAAACGTATGCAACGGCCGAGAGAACGCGCTGTTAGGTGTTTTCGCAATCCGCAAGCACGCGGCGTTTAGCCACGCCCACTACTCGCGGTCAACGTCTGGCCGACGAGTTCTCGTTCGGGAGCGCCGATTTATTATACTATGATCGTTCGTCCAAGACGTTACGCATCAATATGAAATTCATACACGTAAATGCCGCCGTAATATTTTTAAATACCCACGCGTATCTATAAACCAACAATTATAATGTTAACCACTGCTTACCTAAATATATATACCTTTATATAGATCGTAGAAACTGTATTATAACATAGTTTGATTTGTATTTATTGAATGATTACTTATTCAAATATAATACCAATAGGCAATCACTATACCACTCATTATTTAACAAATTATAATTTTTTTTAAATATAATGTGTAGGTGCTTATGTTAAAATGTTATCATTCAAATTTTGCAATTGAGAGATCATAGCTTATTAATGTGCATCATAATATATTTAGAATTAATCATAATTTAAATTTTAAATGTATAATAAAACCAAATCACTATCATAATAATATTACGATTTTTTATTTTTTTTCAATGATAATGATTTAAATCGTTCTTCTTGTTTTTCTATTATGTCATCTGGATCTCTGATATCACTAATTAATAATCTTTTGCCATATAAGGGATCGATGAGCTCAGGCAAGAGACAATTTAAATAAAACCTAAAATACAAATTCATGTCATAATTATTTTAATTAATAGGAATGATATAGGTATTTTACTCACGATATTAATTTTTCAGACATTTTCATCCAAAATGGATGATCATAATAAATTGTTTCTACTGTAGTCCATTTTTCGGTATATACTACCAAATAGCATAATTTACGATTGGTAATGTGCAGTTGTCCTATAATTTGGTAATAATAATTACTATTTCGCTTTAATGTAATTGACGAATCTTGCATTATCCAATTTGGTAGCTGTAACATGTAGGTAACATCATAAGTGAAGCGGTATCAATAGAAAATATAATTATATCTACCAACACTTACAAGTTTGTTATTGAAAGCTTCGATTGAACTTTCTGAATTACGAGCATTTAAGGACACTTTATTTCTAATAGAGCATTTTCTCCAACTAAACCATCTAATTAAAATAATATATAATATGTAAATATAGGTACTAAAAGTTCATCTATAATATAAAAATAAGCTATAAATAAAAAATAGCTAATAAATAATGTAAATCCTCAAACACATGGTTATACTTAATTGTAAAAAATTGATTTATAGACAATAGGCACTATGTACCTATTAAAAATAAAAGTTGAAAAAATATATTTACCTGGACTTGCTGCTAAATATGGTAGATTGGAATCAATAATAAGACCACATGTTTGGACGTTTAGTTCATACATTTCTTCAAACTTTTTTCGACCTTTTGATTCCATAATATGGCCATAATTCAATTGTTTTGTTTTAGGATTGGGTGCGTATAGTAAATTATGAATTTTTTTCTTACAACTAGTATAAGGTCGCATTTTGCATATTACACCAAAATTTGATGCTGTGATTCGAAGTCTTCTTTCTTTAAACCAAAGAGAATTATCACTTTGATCTCTTGTAATAACTTCGATCTCAGTTCTATCAGCCTCATTTAGTTTTTGGATAAATAATGATTTTTTTTTGTCATAATCCTCTTTGCTCATTGTATCAATCAATGGTTCGGCTAATCCATAATTTTGATCCGCTGCTGTAAATTTAGGTCGACTTTTGAACACCATACTTGTTGAAAATAACTGTCGTCTTTTAAGACTATTAGCCCTTATACGCTCTATATTTTTCAAATATTTTTTGCCGAATGTTCCTAAAAAACAATTTTAATTATACAATAAAACATAAATACTAATCAACTAAATATATAACAAGTAACAACATGTATTATGCTGTATCGGGTACTTATATTAGGCATAACAATAAATATTATTTATTTACATTATTTTGTTGTCTGTTGATAATATTAATTGCGTGATATAAATATAATACACTAGGTATTGGATTTATAATTACCTGGGCTTTTATTTTGCATAGTTTTATGAACTTGCCTAAGATATTGTTTTGAATTAAAAGCAACTACGGCAGCTTCAACTCTTGTATTGTAAGAATTTTTTTGTGAAAAATTTATTCTTTTTCCAGTTATGTACTTATTTATTACACTATTAAAAATTTCACAAGCGTTATTGTCAACATCCGATAAAAGGCTAGGTGCATTGGTAGTAAGTCTAAAGAGTATTTGATTAATTTCTCGTAATAAACCACATTTTTCAGCCTGAGGTATTAAATTTATTTCACCTTCTTTTTGTCCATGACAAAAGTAAGTTGCACATTTCGTATGTTGGCCTAATCTGTGATAAATGCTATTAGCAATATCTGATCCGAGTTCTAAAAATTATCAGAACATTATTTATAATATTTTTTATTTGATTTATATATTGTATGAATGCAGAATACAATTATTGTTTGTAAGTAAAACATTAATTTTCTAAGTGGATTTCAAATATATATAAAAATCGTCAAAATAGCAAATTATTTTATAAACAAAAGGTGACAAACCGTCTCCACTCAGAAAATAAAAAAATAAAAATGATCTTACAATAAATAATAACTCTTTTATAATAAACCTGTAATTTGTTGAGACTTGGGTATATCTTGTTTTTTTCTGAATTGTACCGCTTTTGTGACGTCAGAACGAAATCTAACAATTTGAGATAAAATAAATTTTCTCAAATTAATTGGAAATTCAGTTTTATTTGCTAAAGCTGTCAATTTTTGAGAAAAATTTCTTAACAAATGATTTCGGCATTCTATTTTTTCTATAAAAAAATCTGGACCATATGGCAGTACTTCTTTCAATTTTTTTAACACGCTGCTATCTCCGTCCCCTATAATATAAGTGATAATAGTGAACCATATAAAATATAAACTAATACATTTTTTTTAAATTGATAATTAGGTATCTATGCTCCTACCAATTAATTTATTATATTTGAGACCATGCATTTCAATGCTGCGTGAAAAACCTTCAACTACTCCATCTGCTTCCATTGCAGTGGAGGCTTTACTCCAATTTAAAAAACATTCATGTTCGGATGCTTTCTCATTACGGTTTGATGCTCTTTGGCAAACAACACAGTACCTATTTCTTATTCCTACAAATAAAACTTTTCTGGTTCTTTTCCCAATAATAGTGGCCTGCATGCATATATTATTTTTTATTACAATTAAAAATGTAATACTATATAATGATTAACAACTTAAAGATATATATGCTTTCGTACCGTTCCTGATAAAGCATTGTACTTGGACTTATAACTACGCTTCGACCATTGGCCATCAGCGATAACTGTACACATAGGTATACCGTCTACGTCCACCTCACCATTTTCCAATGCCATCTGTCGTTCTTCGTCCCCAGCCATCTGCATTTCATTCCATGCAGTTTGTTGTACTACTAAATTCATACAATTTTGTATTTTTATGTACGTTGCATTGCACATAGTAGGTACTTCAATGGATGCTGACAGTTCCGTTAATTGTGCATATCCTATTCCTTTTGTTGTAAAATTTAATTTATTTATTTTACTAATCATAATTTATTTACATCACATTTATTGTATTATTGTTCAGTTATTAATTATTATGTGTTAGGTTAGGTGCATACCTGTTGCAATACTACCGTTAACTAAAGCTTTGTTAATTGGTATATATGTTTCTTTAGGGTTTTCAGAATTAATTATACTTTCAATACTACACACTTGACATTGAAACTTAAATTTTGAAGTATACCCGTTTCTGCTTTCTGATTTAAATATCATATTCAAAAATGAACAATCGGTACCACTATTATGGCAACTATTTTTTATTTGATCGAAAATATAAGCTATATCAACTATTCGTCTACCTACTAAATTCCTAAATATAAATATATATTATACGTAAGTTATAAAGAGAAAAATAGGAATAAATGCATTTTACCGACCACTTGCATTTTTTCTAGAAATGTTAAAAAAATTTAGGCTTGTCAAAAAATCTTTAAAATTTTTTAGTTAGGTACATGATTTCTCATAACTAGTAATTATCGTGATTATAATTATACAATTATTGATTATTTTAATTATCGTAGGTAAAGTGCATTTCATCCAAAAAATAATTATATTACGTTATAGGTACATACTCGGCAATAATTGTATCAGAAGTACTTGAAATTACGCTTAAATTATGAGCACCAATATCATTACTACACAAACATTAAAATTGATGATTATTATTATCATTATTTTATCAATAAATATTATAGTACAAATTTTAAATATAATTATAAGTAGGTACCTCGAACCAAATAGCGTAGGGCTATCAAAAAAGTCAGCTACATTTCTTTCATCCTCGTATTGTTTATTATTTAAATTATTGGTACAATCATCAAGATTTGGATGCGGTGTACAATCAATATCAGGTGAATCCGGTGATGTTGTACAATCAATATGAGGAATTATTGGTGTACCCCCAAAACTACTAAAAATATTCGTATAATACTTTAAGACTTTGCATCAATTTATTATACATTTCAAATTTGATCTTCATTAATAAATTAAATTAAACAATTTTTTATTAAATAGTAGAAAAAAAATCATATATGTTGTGATCATAATATATTTGATAGTTTGGTAATATAGTATAGGTATAGCAGGTTATAGGTAACTAATATGTAAAAGTGAATAGAGTTATTTTAATTTATTAATTGAAGTATGGGTTGAGTACAAAATATAAATAATTCATTTCATTTTACTTTTTAAGATAAACGAATAATGAAAATATCTAAATTTATAATTATGTAATATAATTTATATAAGTACTATATACTTACTTTATTTGTTTGCATCGTCGGAGTGCAAGGGAACTAGACAACTTTTTTTTACTTGCCCGTTTCCGTTTTAATTTATTTTCTTTATTTGCCATTGTCAAAAAAATACGCAATCCACTAAAAAAAATTTGAACAACACGGCATAGAAATCCGTAAGAAAATGATGTGATCACATCGAATAATCCAGGAGGAATGGTTGTGTTTCAATAACTTGAATATTTATTTTTGTACAAATAATTGAAAATAGAGCTATTTTGGAGTTATCCAATAGGGGAAAAAATTAGGTAGGTGAAATGCCGTTAATCGTCGATGCCGATTATTAAAATAAAAATAATTCTTATTACATTATTATAGCTATAAGCTTATACATAATAATTATATTTTATTTTCATAGCTAAAATAATAATATCATATTGTCCATATTAGTTCATAGTCTTTTCCTGGAAGCGGCTTGTCTTTACTGATAATTGTCAACCGACCGTCACCGCGCGATAGTCGTAGACCGTAGTTGAAATTCAGTTTTTGGAGTAGTGGGGGAGAAATCGCGACTGACGTCGCATAGCAGGCAGGTGGCAGCACATTACAGCAATGAAAAATTAAATCCAACAACACAAACATGTTTACGGAAAACAAACAAAACAGTATTAAAAAGTGATTTTAGAGCAAAAATACCTATTATGAAATTTATAGAGAACAATATTTCAGAGACAACCTCATCGGGGTTTTGCAATATTTTAAATATACAGCTTGTTACAAAAGGCACAAAAACGTTTTTTTTTACATTTTTTAAACAACTGTAAATTTTTTAATAATTGATATTTTAAAAAACACCGATGAGGTTGTTTCCTAAATATTGTTCTCTATAAATTCTATAATAGGTATTTTTGCTCTAAAATTGCTTTTTAATACTGTTTCGTTTGTTTTTCGTAGAGCTGTTTTTACCGCTAATAATTACGGGTATAGCGTCCTCTTAAGAAGGTAGTTCAATAGTTCTGGTATTATAATTATATCATCTAATTGTACTTTGCCATTAGAGCAACATAAGGTTTTGCATTCGTCTTTCCATCTCAGAGCAGAACAAAACTGGCATACTATTGTAGGAATTCCTATAAAAACTGATGGGTTATTGTTGTAATCCACCGTTAACTCATAGTTCATAGCAGAATAATCTTTTCTTGACCATGAACCTCTGTCGTTAACAACATCATCATTATTTAAATGTCGTTCTCTACGTCCTACACGCATTCTTTTGGCATCATTCTGAGATCGACCAATCTTTAACTTTCGTCTAGGCATTTAAAAAAATGAAAGTTGTACAATAAAATAACAATCAAAATCGAGGAAAGACGTGTTCTACAGAAAACGATAGAAAACTATTACAAAACTATTACTATTACACAGTCCATACAACGAAAATAATATCAGAGTACGGCGATGTTAAAATAAATACTGAAATCTATACCTATATCTGTGGTTGTCAACTATGACTTATATTATATTGTCACTTAACCTAGTTTCTGTTTAGCTAGGTCTGCTAAAACTTACTACTATAAAACTTAATATTAAATATTATTGCTTACATGTTTACTTAACATAGTTAATATTTTTAATATCAATTATTTGTATGTTAATGTATGATACAACACTGCTAGAGACCTATTGGACAAATAAAATTTCGTCAATTCTAGACACCTAATGTACAGCAGAGCGTTAATGCGTACTCATACTTACCCGATTTTTGAATTATGTATATTACATTTATTCATAGGCGTAACTAGGATTTAATAG